GCTCCCACAGCTTTGCTATCTTGCTGTGTGATTGCCTAATTTAGATAGAAGCTAGTTAACCTACCGGCAAGTCTTTAGAGTGTGGGAGGAAATGGAGTTCCCGGAGAAAATCCATGCAAGCAAAGGGAAAACATGGATACTCCATGCAGATTGTGTCCTGGCCAGGTTTTGAATAGAAGAACCCAGTGCTGCTGGAGTATTAATCACTAAGAGGGTTACTCACGAAGGATCCAGCCGTAGCTTTGGCTGATCCATCGGCTCACTTCACCCGCCGGAACCCTTCGGTTCAGTCAAACAGTAGGGCTCATCTGAGTGCCCTTTTATTAAAGGGCATGTGACCTGGTATGGCAGAAGTTATGTGGTCCTCAATGGAATGGATAAAGAAAGTAAGATTTTTTTATTTTTTTTGTACTTGCCGTAAAATATTTTTCATGTGGTCCTTTGAGGAACACGGAAAATAATATAAATATAGGCTAAGTCAAGTTAACATTTCATTGGATCTCAGTCTTAAGGATGAGCAGATGCCACACACTTGTTGGTGAATTTTATTCAAAACATACATATTTTTATATTGTGTTCATTAGCTTTATTTTAAATTGATGTAAATTATATTGTTTGTCCATTATTTATCTATCCATTTTACATTGTTTTCTTTACCACATCTCTCCTATCTCTATAGGTCATATGTTAGGATCTGTGGACTGTCTTCCACTAAAAGTGAAGCATCTTGCTCAGTCATTGCATCATATCACAGCTGAGCTTAATGATGTTTTGACATCACTCGATCCGTTCATGTCTGATCCTAGCTCAGTGATGCATTCAGAGAACAAGCATTCTTCAGCTCCAGGCATCCCTATATCTACTTATGTATCAATGTCCAAAATGGACCATCGGATGGGCGTCCACTCATCTTCTCCATGGGCCTGGAAATCTTTTGTCCCACCCAGTATGTCAGCCTCCTCCTCTGCCACTCAGTCAGTCAATGCTCTTATGATGGAGAAGTGGCACAAGTATTTTCCAGGTGAGTCAATACATTTTATGTTATAATGCGTGTACTTTCTTTTGTTACCAGTATTTTTATGTGTTTTAAGAAATTAAAAAGGTACTAAGAAATAAAAATACAAAATTCATAAACCACCCCCACACATCTAAACAGGTATACTAACTGGTTTGTTCAGTTACACAAAAAAAAAACTATGATATAGTCTAATTTTTCTTGGCTCTGTTGTCTTTGTGTATTTTTAGAAAGTACTAGTTTGTATATTGGAAGTAGTCAAAGCAGTTTATTAACACACAGTTTCCATGTCTTAACTCAATCAAAGTAGTATTTCACGCTTTTTTCAATAATGAATCCAAATCAAACAAATATGCAGTGCCCAGCAAAGTATTTCTTTGCATTATTGCCCAAGCACTTACAGTGATCATGTTTCTGAACAGATGGCTCCAACACTCTCAGCTCGGCTTCCCTGAACTTCCTGTCCAGTACAAGATCACAAGGGGCAGAGCATTCTCCAGCAGCCGTCTATCTACTAGCTTGGAAAAGCAAGGAAGGAGGAGGGGGAAGTGGGGAAGCAGGGGAGTTTCTTGGCCTGCTGTGCCTGTGTGTTTGGAGGAAACACACACAGCTTATTAGCACACAAGGTTGGCTTCATAAGATTCTTCAAGGGAAAGCATCCTAAGGGCCCATTCCCACCATGTCTGGATCATCTCCAGACCAGACCGGATTGTTTCCAGACCCAAAATGCATCTGAATGTATCACTATGCTATTTCTGGCCTCTGTTCATACCAGGGCAGTGCATTCCAGACCAGACCAGAAAAATACTGCTTGTCTTATTTTGTCTGGTCTGGAATGCACTGGAAAAATGCATCAAAACCGCATACAAACGCACTGGAACGCACCAGTAAGACATTTTAAGCTAAACAAAATATTTCCAAATGCGTAAAAACGCAATGCACTCCATTCCAGATCTGGTCCGGAAAATGGTGTGAATCTGCCCTTAAACAGGAAATCAGGGCCAATGCTCAGGGACCAGTTGATTTTTTCTGGAAGCTTAAACTTTTAAACATCAAGGGACAGCATCCATTGTAAGTGATTTAATCAGCATTTGAAATAGCTTAAAAACGATTTGACGTTAATGTAACTTTAATATTGCATTTTTAAACCTCAAAGAAGGTCTTTGCATTTTTTATTTATCAAAGTTCCAGTATACATTCCATGCAGAATAGAAAGTATATTGTTCTATAACTGTCCCTAGCTTGCGTGCTATAGTTTTCTTGCATGGTTTTGCCAGTTATCCAGAGTTTGTCATGTTTATTTTTATTAATGTTAGAATTTTCTGAGAGGATATTGAATATGACAATGAATGAAATCTAATTCTCTGTATGGTCAGTATGAAAGTTTGGCTTGGGATGGGCATTTTTCAAGTTCATATTTTAGCAAACAGAGATATATTGACTCCCTCATGATAGTATTCAGTACACATTAGTGTCCAGTTTTCAAGCCAACTTAAAACACATATCCTGAAAACTAGGGATGCAACGATACCGGTATTTTGTTACCAAGTACGACTACCGATCATTTTTTTTCGGTACTCGCCGATACCAATTACCGAGTACCGGAAGTCCCATTCAGGAAGCCAGGTGGCGTGTAATGACTCGCCACCCGGCTTCCCAAATAAAAAGAAAGCCGTCCCATGTCACCCCCCGGGCTTCTCCAGCGAGGAGCAGCCTTCCTCTGGTACCCAGCCGGAGCCGTCTTGCTGGCCAATCGTGGACGCCGGGCGGCGTGTAATGACGCGGCGCCCTGCTTTCTGATTTGCCCGGGAGGCCGGATCCATGCTCCCTCATCATGGGATGACGAGGGAGCATGAAGCCGGCTTCCTGGCCAATCAGAACCATGCAGCGCGTCATTACACCCTGCCCGGCTTCCTGATTGGCGGGGAAGTCGGCTCCATGCTCTCTCATCACAAGTGACAAGAGAGCATGGTGCCTCTTCCCGGCCAATCAGGAAACCGGGCAGTGTGCAATGACGTGCTGCCTGGCTTCCTGATACATGAAGTATCGGGCTAGGCATTGGAGCATTTGGGCAAGTACGAGTACTCGCCCAAATACTCGGTATCGGTGCATCCCTACTAAAAACTGATATACGGTAAGTTATTTGCATAACAAAGAAATAGTCTTTCCCTAAAATTTGGTAAACTATAAATTATATAAATTCATCATTTTGAGAAAGGAAACTTTTTTGAAGCAACTTGTTTTTTTTTTTCCAATTTGTTGACGACTATATAATATTGTAAACTGGATTAACTGACATATGATGTTTCTTTACCTGTTGTACCCGACATTCAAATCTGTTTTCTACAGGAATAGCTGTAGCTGTAGTGCAAAGAGCCATCATGTTCATTTGTCCATAACAACCAGACTTTAGTGCTCAGACATTCAGTATAGTCAAATCTGGGTGAAAGGTGAATTATAACAACTACAATGCAGCAATGAACTTTGTGCTTTTCCTTACCTACAGTATATGTCCTGGTCTTAAGTGCACTGACTGGATCATTATCATCTGCCCACATCATTATATCTAAAAAAAAGCTGCAACTCTAGCATCTGTTTCTTGCCCTTAATTTGACAAAGAATTATAAAGCCAGTTTCAAAGTTACTAGTTTATCATTTAATGAATCACTTTTGTTCCTCTTGTATACTGACTGTTATCTGTATAAGAAAGCAAGTTTCCACTTTTCTAAGGCAAGTGCTTTGCAAACAATACAAGGAACGGATACACATAATTTCACAGTAATACCAGTTTTATGGTACAATTTTTTTTTTTTTATTGTGTCATAGATGACAATACAATCCAGAATCCCGCTACATTCCTTGCCAGGTATCCCTGTCAGTGTGGGTGCTCGAAGTGACTGCCAATGGTGCCGCTCATAACAGAACTTGATAGAGATGTCATCAGCACAACGGAGTGAAGTGAAGCAAACATCTATTTATTGACACATCATGTCATAACAAATTACATATTTCTAGATGACAATGCCTCACATTCATTCTGTAGTACATCTCTATCCTTTCTGAAGGTACGAGAGAGGCAGCCACTGTGCATTGCGCCTCTATAGTATATCTGTAGCCTATTACACTGATGGGCAAATTGGTACCATAGAAAAATTCAGTAATAAAATGATTACCTGTATTTCAGTTTTCTGGGGGTTATCCTTTCTTCAATACAGTGACATTGCAACAAAAGTTCTCTCTTTCTGGCATTTCTGTAATTTTTATCATTTTTCAGGGTGTTCTCCTTTCACCGTTGACCAGTCTCGGCATTCAGAAAATAAATTTGGATATGTTTCTGCAGGGTGAGCACATGTTCTGTAGTTTCCACACATACATTATATCATTCTAAAAATGGCTGTTGACATTTGCAGTGAATTATAACAAACAAAGAACTTTCATGATGTCGATTCACTTGAAATATTACTTTCTAACTTTACCGCAGCATTGTACAATTGCACTGGCTTGTAGGTGCAGGTGTTGCTATCACCTAGCCTGGCTTTATCTGTCATTGCCTCAGGCCCCCTTTGGACTTTCACAATGTGTGATCAACCCATTCATTTTCTTTGAGCTGCTGCACATGCAACAAATGTGGCAAGGAAGCTCATGCAGCATTTTCAGCTGCGAGCTTCCCGCGTTTTCTGACCACACATTTGTGCGTGTTAACGCAACTTAAAAGTGTGAACTATCTCAGTTTTGCTGTGTCAGTAAAGCTACTTTGAAAAGCTAAACTTCTATCTATGAGGAGAATATGCTTGTCCCATGCTACAAAGCAGTGCATGTGCATTTATTCACTATGCCGGAGCATTGTGGCATTTGGGGCATGCCAAAGTAAGTTAGTATTTGCATAGGATTTTTTAAGTCTGTTGGACAAGAAATGTGTAATTAAAGCTATGCAGATGCACTGGTGCATTTAGGAAAACAATGACACTACATTCTGATTTTATTTAACCAGTATGGGTTTGATTTAAGATATTGATGTTGCTTAAGATCTTACAAAGGCCCAGGAAATGTTATACAGGCAGTCCCCGAGTTACAAACATCCGACTTACATACGACCACTACTTACAAACGGAGACTTATTACTGTAGAGCAGGGGGTCCCAGGCTGCAGCCAAAGTGTACCGCACAGCATTTCAGTAGTTGTAATGCTACCATGCTCGTGCCGACGAGGAGTGCCTGCCTTTTTGGGTCTAGTTTATAGTACTGTATGCATATTATAGGAAGTTGGCTCTTGTTAGATGTGCAAATGAGGGGTGTCTGCCTCTTCTTCTGGGTAACTGTGAGGTTTTTACGGCTGTCTGTATCCTCATTAGAAAGATTTAATCTCACTTCCTGTCCTTGAGACAACAGGAAGTGAGAGGAAATCTACCCTTAGGAAGGGAAATTCACTCCTGTAAGAGTTATCATGGAAAACGGGTGTCTCCACTGAAGCTTTATCACCAATCCTTGTTTCCACGACAAGCCAAAATTTTCAAAATCCACAGGGACAGAAAATGAGGTGAAATCTGAACAGGGGCACACACAGCAAAACAAACTTTTCAAAGGGTTAACCCTTCCCTATGCTATCCAAAATGAAAAAAAAATTTGGGGCTGGAGTTGCACTTAAAAAAATGTACCTGTTCCAACTTACATCAAAAAATTCAACTTAAGAACAAACCTACAGAACCTATCTTGTACGTAACTCGGGGACTGCCTGTACTTTGTTTAGTGTCCAAATGTACAGTTTTATGTGTTTTGCTTAATTATTTTTAACCCACCTCTCTCACAGGGAACAGCTTCGAGAGATGCAGAGTGCATCATTCCATTCCAAGTACACAGACAAACACAACATTCAGGCAATGATTGACAGCAACAAGAAATGGTTACAAAACTTCAAGCATGACCCTAAAGTGTATCCTTTTTTTGTTTAAATTACCTGCAGCTCTTTTTTTTTTTAAGTATTTGCAGCAATGTTGGCCGGATTCTGAATACATTAGATAAAGGCTAAATCCTATTTGTAAATGCTGCTCATAGACAGAAGAAAACAACTACCAGAGGATTGTTCTTTACAAAAGTGTGGCATAAACCTGCATGTTTTATATAAGCCATAACAATTCCCCACCATTTCCCTGTGGCTCTGTCAGGGGCGTACCGAGGCGGGGTGACACCCGGAGCGTTAACCGAGTGTCACCCGCCGAGACGCCACTGCGCATGCGCGTGACATCATCACGCTTGTGCGAGATGACGTCATCGCGCACGCGCGGCAGTATTCGGATCCCTGCCGGCGGCCATCTTGGTGATGGACGCCGGCAGAGAGAGGAGGGGACAGTCACCCGGCGGGATAAGGCATGCCGCCGGGTGTTCTCCTCTCTCCTGATACTGTTGGGCGTTCGGTCCATGACCGAGCGCCCGACTTTTCAGAGGGGGGTGACACCAAAATGACTGAGTCTCATTTTGGTGTCACCCGGGTGCGGGCCGCACCCCCCGCACCTCCCTTGTGACGCCACTGGCTTTGTACTGCAGAGTGGGCAACACTTAAACATTTCCCCCAGATGCTGGATATTTGTAACAAGTAACCGTATAATCTTGGAAAAGACACCCTACAAGATTTAGTTGCAATATTAGTTCATTGTTTAGTTTCCAGGAACCCATTGAACCCAGCATGTCGATCCACCAAGCCTCTTTTGTTAATTAAGTTTTATCCCTATTGCCACAACATCTTGGCTGTTTTAAGTGGCAGATGCCATAAAATATGCTTGTTGAGGACATGTGATGGTGTCTGAAATGTTTGTATGGGGTCGGAAGGTTTATAAGGACTCCACATCTATGCTCACTAGGAGACCGCTCACTAAAGTAATAGTATATGTAAAATACCAATGCTGGTACTACTATGCTTGCCAATAATAATGTAAAATACAAACGAAATCTCAAGAAAATATATTTTAATTTGGCACTAGCAGTGGCTGTTGTTGGGAACTATGAGAAATGATTAATTTTGAAAGTTGATTAGTATTTATTTATTTATATTAAATGGATTCTATATAAAGTTGTGTGAGTCATATTATAATATAAAAGCGTCTTTGTAAATATTTAAACCCAGCTTTGTCCTATACTTTGGCATATACCTATTTCTAATGAATAGTTTCCAATTATCTATCTGCTGTCTTTTCCTTAACGGAATTAATAGGCCACTAGACTCACCCAGATCTCCAGCAGGAGCAGGACTTGTACAGCTGGGTCTAGATGAAAATAATCAAATCAGAGTATTCCAGTACTAACAAAGAACAGGTATCAGACATCTATTGTCTGACTCGCTTTACCAGAAGAATCAACCAATAAGAGATTGCGCACTAATGTCAACACAAGCCATCCGATTAATTAGGAGGTACCAAACCGGAGCCAGTAGATTTGGATTTGCAAGCTTTGGTCATTACCGTATGCCAAAAATACTGAAAATACAAGAAGGAACTGCTATATTCAGCAAACCCTAACTGACATGGTAATCTGTCACTAAGCAACCTACTCTGCTTTGTGTTTAAGGCTGCTGCATAACAAAACGCACCGCATGCAGTAAGTGCAAGTAGCAGGCAAAGGGTTGTATAGTAATATTCCGCGCTATTGAACCCTAATAATAAGAGGAATAGAAATTGTGAAAGAAAAGCGCTGTGCACTTGTAAAGGGTTAATGTTCTGTATATAAAAACATTCTGTTATTACTACCATGCTAAAATCAGTTGCAGGTACTACTTCCTATGACGAATATGCTAAAGCTAATAATGATGATCAATGTTTTAAACATAATAGTCAATGAGAACACACAAGATCATTACACGGCTTCAGCAGTTGGCCTGACCTCAGCATTGCGACCAGTTGCTGAAACCCTGTAATGGTCTCATGTATTGTGTTCTTATTATCATTAGCATAGCGAATTTAGTTGTAGGAAGTAGTTATTGGACCTGGTTCTAGCACAGTGGTAATAATAATGTGTTTTTTTTTAAGTTTTGAAGGGGTGGCCAACTTATTTTCACTGCAGCTTTCCAATACTTGTTGCCACAACTTTTATTTAATGCTGTGTGAAAAATTATTGAAAGATTTTGAGTTCTACTAAGGTTGCTTGGTAGCGATTTATTATCATTGACAGATGACTTTGGTTAATTAATATGATAATGTTTTACACCGCGATACATTGTCAATAACCATTATTTTCAGAAAGCTGCTTGTTAAGATCCTGTGTTGTGTGGAAATAATGTTTTTGTACCATTAATAGTAGAGATTAGGACATACTGTTGGAAAGATGAACTGTTTTATCTAAGGTGCACATTCTTCTGTTAGTTCCTGGCTGGAATCTGATTATTAGAGGTGAGGTAGGCAGTTCTTCTTTTAGGCCCTGCAATACATCAGGCCCATTATTTTATGTTATCCACAATAAATGTTCAGAAGGATTTTTAAACTCAGCAGGTATTAAATTGATAGTAGTGCCCCTACTGGTAAATGTGGTTGATATCTCTGCTCGGAAAATAGAAATGTTACACTGTGATAATAAGACATATGCAAATATAGTATTTCTAAGCTTTACATGTAACTGCTGTAAAGGTTTATGCAAATTGCTGTAGATATGTAATTTTCTACACATTGTGTACATTTATATATATTATATTGTTTTTCTTTTGACATATAAAATGGAGACAATGTTAGCATGTGCACTTTATTCAAATATAAAAAAATTATCTGAGTTATCAGGTAAAACACTCTCTTAAGGGTCCAATACTCGGCTGTTTTCTTTGTACTGGTTTTTTTTTTTTCTGTCTTTGCTTTGCTCTAGTTGATGACAAATGAGTGTAAGCAGTTGAGATAAGTTTACCTATGAAAGTACAAATGAGCATTTAGTAAGGTCCTGCATGCAGTGTTGTTGCACTTGTGGTGCTTTGGTTGTCCATTCAGTGTTCACCGAACACACTGGGGGGAATTAACAAATAGTGGCGCAGACATAGGTCTTGCTCCACAACTCTGAACTGAAAATTGAGCACATCCTGCCGCTAATTAGCAATGGGGGCACAATCCCCTTTTGTTAATTAGGAGCGATCTGCTGAGCACAAGAGAATAGCTGTTAACCCTGCATTTGCCAAGATTGATGGCGCTTTCCCTGCCTATATAAAGACTTTGCTCATGTAGTGTGTTCTTTGCATGCGCAGAGAGAGGCACGTGAGCCATTTGCCAGGTTACCAGCAGACCGTTTACATCCTGTGAATTAGACATGGAACTTGCACCAGTTTCTATTTCACACTGTAATAGAATCTGATGTGGGTGGCGTAGGTAGACCGGAAACAGATCTATAACCTTTGCTAACTCGTGCCAGTTCATCATAATGGCATAGGAAGCTTTTTTTTTTTAATTCCCCCCCCCTCATTAATCTTTTTTTAAGGCTAACCTCAGGTATGTGATGGCGGCAGAAGATTCGACCACTCAAAGATTTTACAAAAGATCCATAAACATTTATCCACTAAATATTTAAGCTCCATGTGTATTGGAAATGTTTTTTCATGTTAATAACTTATATTCTTTTTTTGCTGCAATAAAGTAATGCCTTTTTATATATACATGTGTTGGTATGTTTTGGATAACACAGTGACAAATTGCCCGTGTGTTTTAAAAATGTTTATGAATACATTTTATTTAACTTTTGTTGCAATTGCAACAGAGAGTGAAAAAGTCCAAAATGACATCTATCTATCTATCTATCTATCTATCTATCTATCTATCTATCTATCTATCTATCTATCTATCTATCTCCTTTGCAACTTGTATCAGTCGCTTATGAAGGCCAAATATCCAGGGCATATAGCGCTCCTATATTGTCACCTTGTCACATACTGTACCAATATAGGCTACAAACAGCCTTGCAGATGCACATTACACAGGTGCGGTCCACGGTTGTGACCTTCAGGAACCTGTCCTAAGAAATTCAAAGCTGCCATCGCTGGAGTGCATGCATGTAGATAGAAAGTGGCTCCTGAGTGGTTGCAGGAGATCAGTAGCCCTGAGAGATAAAGAATAAAAAAGGATGAAAGAAAAAAAAATTGTATATACACAGTGCATTAAAAAATTAAATGTTATATAGTTAGTGCAAGGGTCAGCAAACGAGGGCACACATACCACGGTGGGCCCACCGAAGATCAGTAATCACAGCTACAAAATGATTTGATGTTTCTGAGTAAAACATAATTGTAGTAAAGTTTGTCAAATATTATCTAGTCTGTAGTGTTGTGAGTTTACGAAACAAATTCTTATGTTTTTAAAAGGTGGCCTTTGCATTAATCTCTGCATTTGGATTCACGTATATGTGCAAACAGATTTTTTGTCACACCGGAAGAGTGTTAAATCAATCTCAAAGCTGATCAGATATTTAGAAGTGTGTGTGCAGTTGAAATGAAAGTTACGTTTATACCCCACTTAAAGGAGAATTATGAGGCGAGTGATTTTCACTCAACCTCATAATCTGAGCCGACCTGTGACAATGAAACCATCACAGGTCGGCTCAGTAGATTGGGAAGTGAGCGAACACATATCGTCACTCGCTCACTTTTAGATCTATCCCTGCAGAGAGCCGTGACTGTCACTCACGTGGCTGTAGCTTGCGGTATACTGAGCTTTGGGTCACGGGAGAACGCTAGTTTGTGTTCTCTCGTGACCCTTAGGAGAACTATGGGGAAAAGCCCTGACCCTATAGTTCTCCTTTAACACACTAAAGGCAGACATAGCACTACTAAGCCACGAAGGATAGGGACAGAAATCACACTAAAACACAAGTCCAGTTTACTGTTTAGTACACATTAAGGGTAAATATGAACATGCTTTGTGCATGCAGCAGTTAATATAATTAATGAGTGTAACTTGCCCTTAGCAGTACTACAGGTGCAAAAAATCAAAATAAAGCTACTTGACTACAATATGGTATTGTTCACTAGCACACCTGTAGTCTCATGCTTGTAGATTGACACCTAACGTGGGAAAGGTTTCCGTCCCCCAAGTTAGGGTTTTCATGTATTATGAAAAGATATTAAAAGTACCCATTTACTATTAGCGGTCTGACCTACTGTTTTCTAGTGGTACACATTTTTCCCCAGGGTAACTTGTAGGACTAAAGTGGCATTTGATAAAAACGCCTTTTACATGCATGCCTAAATCCATGTTCCTTTTGGAAGTCAGCTCTTTCAGTGAAAATATTTGAGGAGCAGCATTTGATCGCTCATGACTTTACGCTTCAGTTTTAATGACCAGCCCTTTTCCTTATTCTTCCCCATTCTGTGATGCAGTTCCTAGTGACGCTTCATCTGTCGTCAGAAGGATTTTGTCCTTAGGACAGCAGGTGGGAATCTAGTCTGATAATCCTATTAGTAGATTTGAGCTTGTGTTGCTGACAGAGGCTGCAGTTGGCATTTTATATATCCTGTTTGTTTGTCATCATGTTGGCATCTCTTATGACTGCTCTGTTCTTTGTGGTACGCGTGTTTGGAAGGGTGAGTAACTTATTATTTACCCTATTGTATTTCTATGAGCTAGAGCAAGTAAAAATTATAAACAGCCTTCTAACAGTAACAACATATATTGGGGGAGGTCAGAAAATGTTCAAAGACACAAAAAGGGAGTTTATCTTATTAACAAAATTACAATGAGTCATTTTGGGCTGTCAATTATCAGTATGTGCCAGCTATCAAAAAGATATATCAACTAGCGAAATAGCTGTTTCCTGAATCGCAGGCGCAGCATTCAATGAATTGCAACAAGATTTAATGTGTCAAGCGGAGCAGTCAAAAAAATTATGGCAGTATATTTTATATGTTCTAGTAATTCAGTATAAACAAAAAGTGTTTATTTCTTATGTGGTATGTACAGTTCTTAGGGGGAAGGGAATTAAGAGCTAGTCATAGAGAGTGATGGGATCTGATGTTTGAAGGTGGGAATATAAGTTGATTTTCAGGAAAAATGGGAGCTGATAAGAGTAAAGAAAGCTGATGGGGGGGGGGGGGGGGTTTTGGGGGGGGGGGG